TATTAAATCGGAATTCTTTCGTCTTTTTTGAATTGTCCTTTTCTACAGTTATTGAATTATAGGAAACTCCAAAGAGTTTCGTCTGACTGAAATCGTACGTTACCACTAATATTAAAAGTACTAAAAAAAATTGGTGTCTGACCATAAATTGAAAAATTAAACAAAAATTGTTACAATTAGAATCCTAACTCTAATTGTTTCAATTTTTTTTAACCTTTTTAGACACAAATTTTTTTGGACGGAAATAAAATTTTTTTGCACCAAATAAAATTTTAATCAAACAATTTTGAACCAAACAAAATTTTTTTGAACGAAGGATTTTTTTTTATTTAAACGTTTCAAAATTGAGTTAAGTTGAAAAGGAAAGGAATTTTCACCACGTTATAGTTTGTCTCTGAATGGAAAAGAAAAATGCGTCTCAAATGATTGGTATGCATTTTACACGAGTTTTCTCTTGTCAGAAAATGGAATATGGGATGAGACGGTGAAAATATAGAGAGAGGAGAGAAAAGCTTTTAAATTGTTTTGGTAATGGCTGGTTATTAGTTGTTAGATGTTGTTTGGAAAGCCGAAATGTTTGGATTCAAATCTAATTTTAAGGAAAGCCCCATGTAATATTATGCAAACGGAGTCAAAGGCAGAGGGAAATAACGTTTGAAGCTTATGCTTAAGGTATATCAAGGGGGAAAGAAAAGAGGATGCACCACCCCAAATAAATGTCGTGTACGACGCGCTAATGACTGTTCTAAGTTTGCTGATGACGCGGGTTTACCGAGAGGACAATGAACTTTCATCTCCAATCCAGCTCTCTCGTCTCAATTTTTTTTCTTCTTCAATATTTTTCTCTATATATGGCAAATAAATATATTTACAGGAAGAAAATCGAGACTCCCAAAAATTGTAAATTGACCATAAAATGGAAAAAATTACTTTACAAAAAAATGTCCAAAACATATTCTTCTTGCTTAGCTTTTTATTTCAATTTTTAATTTGACAACAAAATGAAAAATTTTACTTTACATGAAAATATCCAAAATATATTCTTATTACTTTTTATTTTTATTTTTAATTTACGACAAAATTGAAAAATTAACGTATGAAAAAAATTTTCAGAAATATTCTTCTTGCTTTTTATTTTTTTTTTCTATTGACGACAAAATGGAAAATTTTACTTTAAAAAAATGTTTAAAAAATATTCTTCTTGCTTTTTATTTTCATTATTTTTAATCATCAATTTCTTTAATTTTTACTATTTTTATTTTTATTTTTATTGCATATAATTTTATTGTATTTTTATTTAATTACTTCATTTTTTTTTATTTTAATTTTTATTATTTATTATTTTTTCTATTTTCCAATTCTATTATATTTTACCCTACAATTATTATTTTGTTTCTATTATTTTTTTATCAACTAAACGAATTTTGATTTGAAATGAAAATCTGTATCGATATTCCTTTCCGTCATTCAAAGAAAATTTCAGCGCAATGTGAAAAGAGATATTTTTCTATCAAAACAAAACAATTTTTTTTTTCATATCCGATTCAATTTTGTCGTCAATCGAAATAAAATAGAATATTCATTGGACAATGTTTATCAAAAGCCGTGTTTTTCGATTCAATTTGAATAAAATAAAATAAAAAAAATATATTTTTCGAACAAAATTGATTTTTTAATGAAACGGAAGAAATTTTTAATTTTTTCTCCTCTGTTTTTCTGTATTTTTTTTATCTCTCAAATAGATTTTTTTACTCTCAAATGGATTTTTATATGCTATTCGATACTTTTTCAAATTTTCGTTTTTTAAAATATATTAAAATTTTTTAATTTAAATAATATTTAAATTTAGATATAAAAATTATAACCAACTTTTTCCACGAAAATTGAAAATAAAAAAAAATTAAATTAAAATGGAAAAAACTTTTTCCGTTTTTAATCTTTCACTAATTTCTCCGCTCTCTAGAATTTTTCACATATTTTTTTTCTAACAAAAAAACCTACAAATATATAAACATTTTTCTACTCTCCTCTTCTGTATTCTTTTTTTACCCTTTTTTATTTTCTCCACTACTTGTTTTAATACCATTTCATCGTTTTTCTTCGGGTAAAAAATTAAAATCCGAACTTAATTTGCCAGATTAGACTTTCCTGCTCTATTCAAAAAAAGAAAAAAAAGAAAGAAAGTTTCTCACTTTCGTGATTGCAAAACGTTTGAGAGAATTAAAAACCCTTTCTTTTAATTGCGATTGCCGTCGGTTTGGTTTCAAGACAAGTTGTAAAAGTTTTTTTTTTTTTTTTAATAAAGCGATCTTCTTTTATCACAATAGTATTTATAGTACCGGCGGTATATAGTGTGATTGCTGCACTGCTGAAAATCAGCTGACGAGACTTCCAAGAATAGGGTAAAAAAAAACGTGCGATCGGGATGACAAGCACGCGGAACAATTGGACAGGTTTGCGTGCATTCATGATATTGTATAAGAGTCCCTCGTACGTGTTCAGCAGTCTATATGCCTTATTAATCTTCTGATTTTTCAAAAAAAATTGTCAACTTAACTTCAGAAAACAAAAAAAAAAATTTTTTCTTCAATTGATCTTTCGAAATTTGTGTTTTATTTTTAAGTAAAGAGAAATTAAAATTTGTTTATAAATTAAACAAGATTTTTGTTAAATAAAAAATAATTTTAAAAAATTAGATTAGATATTAAATTATATTAATAATTATTTAATAATTCATAATATAACAATAATATAAATAATAATTAATGATTTTAACATACATTTATAATATTACCATTATTATTATTATTATTGTTATTATCATTATTACTGCAGATAAAAAAAATTTAGTGCGCTGCGAAATTTTCGCTCAAGCGATAAATTTTTGTTATAATTAGAAGATTATGATGCATTTTTAGTAGCATGAAAAAAAGAGAAGCTGACAAATTTTCTATCAACTATCTAATTATGTGAAGAGATAATTATTCGCCCATTGCCTACAAGCCGTACAGCGTTAATTATAGGGAAAAAAAACTTGATAGTGACCTCTAAATACATTTTCGGAAATATAAAATTAATTTTCCCTTTTTACCCTCGTCAGAAAAAATTAATTTTCCTTTCTAAAAATTAGATTAATTACTAAAATTCTACAATTACTATTTGATTTTTAATTATCAATATTTAACTATAATTACAATAATTATTAATTACGCAATTACTGAAAAAAATTAGTAAATAAATTTTCGCCTAATCTCAGAGAAAATAAGACAAAAAAAAGAAATAACAAGAAACAGAAAGAAAAGAGAATCAAAAGAAATTTTTATTCCTGTTTCTTTCTTTTTCTGTAAAATACACTGAAGAAAAAATTTATTTGATTCAAATAACCGTTTACTTGACTATTATCACACTGAGAAAAAAAATTTTGTTTGATACAAAAATATGGAGCCAACCAAAAAAATATAATTTAATCAAAATTTATTTTAAAAATGAATTAAACATAATTTTTATTGAATCAAACATATTATGCATTAAATCAAAATTTAATAATTTAAAATCAATTTAAAATTAATTCAAAAATAATTTTTGATTGACTGTATAACAAAGATAATTATGTTTGATTCAAATATATCGTTCTCTCAGTGCAATTAAATATTTACTTGAAACAAATAATTTTTATTTTGAGGCAATTAAATGGTATTTGAACCAATAATTTCAGTGTTTGAAGCGAATACCATTAAATTCAATTCTTCAATTAAATAATTTATTATTTAATTAAACAGTTTATTATTTAATTAAATAGTTTATTATTTAATAATAAAACTTATTTGATTCAAGTAAATATTTAATTGATAATAATCAAGTAATCGGTTATTTGATTTAAATAAATTATTTTTAAGTGTAAAAAGAGAAAAAGAAAAAAAGGAAAACGAAAAAAGAAAGGGAGAAAAATGGAATAAGAGGAATAAAAAAGAGAAAATGAAAAAAGGAATGCGGAAAAGAAGAAAATGAAAGAAAAATGGAATAAAAGGAATTAAAAGAGAGATAAGATGGAAAAATTAAATGAAAAGGGAGAAAGGAAAACAGGAGAAGAAGAAAAATAGGATAGAAGAAATAAAAAGGGAAAAGAAAAAATGAAGAGAGGAAACAGAAGGAAAAGTGTAGAAAAAAAGGGAAAAAAGAATGAAAAGAAGAAAAAAAAAGAAGGAAAAGAAGAAAAAGACAGATGAGAAGGAAAAATTGAATAAAAAAGAAAAAGGAGAAGAAGAAGAATGAAAATACAAGACTGAAAATAGAGGAAAAAGGAAAAGAAGAAAAAATGGAATAAAAAGAAAGAAGAAAACAGGAGAAGAAGAAAAAGAACAAAATAAAATACAAGAATAGAAAGAGAAAAAAGAGGAAAAAAATGGAACAGAAGGTATGAAAGGAGAAAAAGCAAAAAAGAAAAAGAAAGAAAACTGTAGTAAACTGAATAAGAAGAAAAAGGAAGAAAAGTAATAAAAACAAAAAACGGAATAAAAGAAACAGGAAAAGTGGAACAGAAGGAATGAAAAGAGAAAAAGGAAACGCAAAAAGAGAAGGAAATATGGAAAAAGTGAATAAAAATAAAAACGTATAAAAAGGAATAAAAGGAAAAACGTATAAAAGGAGAAAAGGAGTAAAAAGAGAAAAAGGAAACGCAAAAAAAGAAGGGAAAACGAATAAAAGGAATAAAAGGATTAAAAGAAAAAAAGGAGTAAAACAAAAAGAAAGAAACTGTTACAAAAATAAAGGAGCAATATAAATATCAACAAAAAAAATGAAATAAAAAAAATAAAATTAATAAAATTAAAAATTAATAACAATAGTAAAAATAGTAAAAATAATAAAAATAAAAAATAAAAATAAAGAAAGCAATAATGAAAATAAACAGAAAGCGATCAACCCCTCATAGGAAGCTTATTTTTCTCTGAATTAAAAAGCGGCCAAGAAACGAAATAAGCAAATGAATCTAATCTAAGCACCTGTCCTACGGAAGGGGCCTGCAGGTAAGTCGAGACATCCGGTTCCACCATGCAGCTCCTCAGAGTATCCGGGATGAACATGAGTAGCTGGGACGGTGGTGGTCCAGGCTGATGCCGGTTGACACCTGGCTGGCACTCCTCGGCCTGGAACTTCAGTTTTCTAAACGTCGTGTCTGCCAAATTGTAAATGATGGACTCGCAAAAGAAATCTCACTCTCGGTTTCAATTGGTCCCGCGGAACAATTGAATCAAGAAAAATCGTTGGTCCCCGTGTGTGTGAGAGCGCGCGGGACCTTTTTTATTTTTTTTTTTTTGCAAAAATAACAAAAACAAAAACAAACTTCTCTTTTTAATTTTATTAAAGAGAGAGAGAGAGAGAAAGAGACAGCGAAAGATTCGTAAAAGAAAAATTATCTCAATTCACAATCGTATTCTCTGATTCCACAAAATTTTCTCTTCTCAATAATTTTTTTAATAACGGAAGGACCAAAGTGTCCTTCCGTTCTGAAAATCCTAATTTTCTGCTGATCTAAAGACCTTGAATGTTGATGATGATAGTGACGAAGAAGATAATGATGATTATGATGATGATTAGTTCCCCTAAATTGATGATGTAGCCTGGAAATTTCCTGACTTTTTTTGAAAATATTTTCTTGATTTTTATTATTTGTTGTTAATTGATTGTTATTGTTGGGTGGTGGCACACCGCACCCAGGCACACGCATCCTATCTAACGCGAGCCACACTCCTCACTCGACTATCCGTTGTCGACGGTCTCGTTTCCGTTATTCGAATAATCTTTCTCCTCTCTCTCCTTTCTCTTTTGTGTTATAAACCCCCGTGCGGTGGAGATTTTTCCCCCCGAACGGAGAGACGTCAGGTCCCAGACTACGCCGACTCGAAGCTTTTGGATTTTTGCTGCGTCGGCGTCGGCGTGGTAAAAGCTCTCTGATCTCGCGCAAACTCGATGCCCACTCACTCACTCACTTCCTCGGGAAGAAAATCTCAGTACGGCAAGTTTCAAGCGATAAAATAAAAGGCGCACACTACACCTCTCTCTGACTTTTTAAGAAAAATATATACCCTCTTGTCTTCACTATATATTCTCTTTTACAATATTTCTTTTCATTCGCTGCATAACATTTTGTTTAGGTCAATCAATTTTTCTTTTCTTCTAGATATATATTTGTATGTTTGTATGTGAATAACATTCATACTTGTTTTTGTCTTCTATTTATAGGGAATATTTCACTGAAATTCGTTGGTTTTTGAGATTCAAATTTTCGTAGCAAATTCTGGATTTATTTTTGAGGTAGAATTTTTGTTTAACTGGATTTTATTTTACTTAACTGGAAAATATTTCGCTCAATTAATATTATGGCTATTTGGCTTAATTTTCTAAGGTAGATTTCTATCTAATAAAATTGTATTTTACTAAAGAATATTTAGAAAATTTTTTATGCTGGCTATTTAGATATTTGGCTTAATTTTGTATAAAAGATTTCTATCTAATCGAATTTTATTTTATTTAACCAAAGAAAATTTGGAAACTTGGCTAAATTTTCTAAAGTATAGATTTCTATCTAATCAAAAATTATTTTATTTAACTAAATAATATTTGGATATTTGGCTAAATTTTATAAAGATTTCTATCCAATCAAATTTTATTTTGTTTAATGAAAAAATATTTGGGTATTTGGCTTAATTTTGCAAAGTACATTGATATCTTATCGAATTTTATTTTATTTAGCCTAAGAATATTTGGTTAAATATATTTTATGGCTGTTTGGATATTTGGCATAATTTTGTAAAGTAGATTTCTATATAATCGCATACTTTTTATTCAGCCAAAGAATATTTGGAATTTGTCAAAAATTTATAAAGATTTTTATATACTCGAATTTTATTTTGAATAACTACAGAATATTTTAATATTTGGCATAATTTTGTATAGTAGATTTCCATCTAATTAAATTTTATTTTTTTTAATTATAGAATATTTGGCTGAATTTTATAATAAAGATTTTTATCCAATCAAATTCTGTTTTAATCAAGAAAAGAAGATTTGGAATTTAGCATAAATTTATAAAGAATAATCCAATCTCATTGAATTTTATTTCATTCAGCCAAAGAATATTTGGAATTTGGCAGAAATTTATAAAGAAGATTTCTATCCTATCGAATTTTTTTTTATCCAGCGAAAGAATATTTGGAATTTGGCAGAATTTTGTAAAGTAGATTTCTAGCTAATAGAATATTATTTTACTTTACTAATGAATATTTAGCTAAATTTTTTATGGTGGCTATTTCACCATTTGGCTTAATTTTGTAGATTTTGAATTTTATTTTATTTAACCAAAGAAAATTTGGATATTTGACTGAATTTTATAAAGAAGATTTCTATCTAATCAAAAATTATTTTTTCAACTAATAAATATTTGGATATTTGGCTAAATTTTTTAAAAAAGATTTCTATCTAATCAAAAATTATTTTATTTAACTTAAGATTATTTGGATGTTTGGCTTAATTTTTTACAGAAGATTTTTATCTAATTAAAATTTTTTTATTTAACTAAAGAATATTTGGCTAAATAATATTTTATGACAATTTGGATATATGGCTTAATTTTGTAAATTTTTAATTGAATTTTTATATTATTTAACCAAAGAAAATTTGGATATTTGGCCTAAATTTTAAAAAGTAGATTTTATGTAAAATGTAAAATGTAAAATTTTATAAAAAAATTACACTTTAAGACAATTTTCATCAGTCCTCATAAGTTTCTATTAAACAAAATTTTATAAACTAGAATTTATAATTATTTTATATTTAACCAAACTTTATAAAGTAGAATTTGTATTAAAACGAATTTTATTAAAAAGATCTTCAATTCTAACCAAATTTTATGGAGAATATATATAAATAAATTTTATAATAAAGCAATAAAAAAACTAGATTTTATTATAAATATATTTAACATTATGCCGAAGTTCATAAACTAGAATTCGTACTAAAATTAAATTTTATAAAGTAAAGTTTAGATTATTTTCAAGTTCATAAAAAAAAAATTTAATTTCACCCACTTTTAAAAATTGAACTGTATATTAAACCAAATATCATAAACTAGTGTCAAATTATCATAAATATCATAAATTAAGCCAAATTTAATAAATTCTTAAGAAATTAGAAATAAATTGTGAATTTAAATAAATAAGACAAATAAAATAAATTCGAATTTATATTCAACCGAATTGCACATGTTGCAAAAATCTGTAGAAATTAATTTAACAAAGTGGTTCATAGTAAACCAATTTTTATAAATTGAAGTTTATATTGAGCCAAAAGCTATAAAATAGAATTAATATCCAATCGAATTTTAAATTGATCGAATAAAAATGAATTAAAATTTTTTAAGTATTTCCAAATTTAGTTTCACTAAAAATTTATAGCAATAGAAAAATCAATAGTTTTCGAAAGTAATAAATGAAGTAATAATAATTGATTAACTTTAATCATGTAAATTAAATTTATTTACAAATAAATTGATTAATTAATTATAATTCGGTTATTAATTAATTCGATGGTAATTTTTTTTAATTAATTGAATATAATTAATTTATTAACTAATTACTAAATTATAATTAATTTACTAATCAATTATTTTTGAAAAAAATTAATTTACTAGTCAGTTAATTGAATATAATTAATTTACTAATCAGTTAATTGAATACAATTAATTTAATAATCAATTTAATTGAATATAATTAATTTATTAATTAACTGGTTGAAAGTAAGTAATTTACTAATTAATAAAAAAAATGTCTTAATTTTTAAACTGAATTAACAGATTTAATTATTTAATTTGCAAGTTAATTTGAATAAATCTAAAAAAAATGTTATCAATTCAATTATTCCTATTGATCGACTTGGTGAGAACAATCGCAGTAAAAAAATGCAATTAAAAGAAGAAAAATGAAAGAACCAAGAAGAAAAACATCGCGACTGGGAAATGATACGTGAAGAAGAAAACTCGCGATTGACACTGACGAGAGCGATTGAACACTGACCAGTCGACGGACCCTACCCTCAAGAAAAAGTACGAGAGTAATCGTAAAACGTGTTGAATTCCTTGCAGTTGAAATAAGCGAGAAGGCACTTGGCCAGGAAAGTCGATCCACGATATTTCACTTAAACAACGTTTGTCTTCAGGTGACTTCTCATACAGAGTCTGTAGACAATATATACATGTATATATATACAATATACTTATAAACATTGGTCGCATCGTGAGGCGAAGACCGTTCGCGAAGACCTGTTGTGCATAACGATCAAAAAAGATCATTGTACCAACGAATGCTGCTGGTGTATTTGCTATGTATAAAACTATTACGTTCGCATTGAATTCTTTATTCCCAACAATTATTCTAAAACGATCCCTGCTTTATTTTCGGTTCAAGATTTTATTTTATTACTAATATATATATTAAATTAAAAATTAACTATAAATAAGCGCGCAAGTTGGGAAAGAAATATTTTCGTGAGGTAAATAATAAAGGAAAGTGAAAAAAATGTAGGTATAAAATTATAAATACCTTGACAGCCAACGATGCGATGCCTGAAAATAAATTGAGGAAAAAAAATTAGTTTTTTTTAATAGGAATAAAAATAAGAATGATGATAATAATAAAAATAATAATAATAAAATAATAATAATAAAATAATTATTATAATTATAATAGTAGTATGTAGTAATATTAAATATAACAAAAAATATAATAAATATTTTTCATTTCATTTTCTTAAACTTAATTAACACAAAAAATGTAAATATGAAATTTATAACTCATATTAAAAATAATTAGTAATTACTAATTAATAAATTAATTAAATGTCATTAATTCAGGGTTAACACAAAAATTTTATTTTGTTTTCCCTGCTTTCCAGACCAAATTTTGACTTTTTCCCTGGCGAATTTATAATTCACTCTAAAAATGACTAGATACTCAAAAAATGTTCTATTACATTTATTTACGAATTTCTTTAATTGTAAAATTATTCGAAAACATCACTAGTTAGTTAGAAGTATGAAAAATTCATATTTTCAAATATTTTAATTTGAAACCTTTTTTAAATTCAATTATTTCTAAAAATTCGTGTTATAATGATTTTATTCAATTTTTTATTCAATTATCATCTAAAATTTTAAGTGAAATTCATTTTTAAATCAATTTTTATTAGAAAATTCTACGAGGAATTCAATTATTTAAATTTCTCAAATAAATAATTCATTGAATAATTGAGAAAGATTTTTGAAAATAATTGAATATTTCAGCGAAGAATTTTGTTGTCTATGAAGATAATTGAAATCTTGACGAGAATTTTTTTTTTTTAACTTTGAAAATAATTGAATTCTGATGATGAAAATTATTATTTATGAAAAGAAATTAATTTTTGGGAAGAATTAGTTCTACATAATTATTAATTAAATGTATGAAGAATTCAGAACTTCAAAGATTTTTATATGAAACCATTTCAAAATTCAATTATTCCTAAAAATTCACACAATAGTGCTTTTAATATTCAATTAATATATATGAAATTTTAACAAAAATTAATTTTTAAATCAATTTTAATTAAAAAATTCTACGAGAATTCAATTATTTAAATTCAAAAATAAATAATTTATTAAATAACTGAATGTTTCTTAAATTGAATTCACATAAAGAATTTTATGAACTAATTTTTAAATAATTGAATTCTTTCGACGAATTTTGATAATATTTTTAAATTACATTTTTCGAAGAATTCAATAAAAATTTTATAAAAAATAATTGAAATTTTGTGATGAGTTTTATTATTTATGAAAATAATTGAATTCCTAAAAAGAATTTTATTATTTATAAAAATAACTGAATTATTGCGAATAAATTTATTAAAAATATCGTAAATAATTGAATTTCTCTAAAACTTTTATTAGTGATAGAAATAATTGAATCCCTGTAAAAAATTGTATTAGATATTTATGAAAACAATTGAATTATAGCGAAGAAATTTATAAAAAGTTTGTAAATAATAGAATTATTCCTCTAAAATTTTTATTATTTATGAAAATAATTAAATATTTGAGTAAAATATTTAAATATTTTATCAAAATTTCTTTTTAATTAATAAAAATCTTTTTGAAAGTTTTATTAAAATAGTATATATTGAAAAACATTTAAATGAGGAGAATTCTTAAAAATAATTGAAATTTTGATGAGAATTTTTTTTTAATTTTTGAAAATTTTTAAATAATTTAACAAATTTTTTTGAAATTTTTTAATTTAGGAGAAGAATTTTGTTAATTATAAAGGTAATTGAATTTTTGAAGAGAATTTTAAAAAATTTTTGAACATAATTGAATTTCTACGAATAATTTTATTATTTTTGAAAATAATTGAATTTCTGCAATTATTTATAACTTCTCAAAATTCAATTTTTTTGTTAGTATTTTTAAATAAAATTTAACTAATTTCAGAAGAATTTGGATTATTAAATTTTTCTAAAATCTAAGTTCATTCAAATTTCTAATTAAATTTATTCAAAATTGAAATTACTCAAAATTTCATAATTAATTTACTAATTATTTATGTAAATATATTTAATTTACTACTTAATTATTTTAATGTAGTTAATTTCATAATTAATAAATTAAATGTATTCAATTTGCTTATTAATTAATTAAACGTATTTTGTACATTAATTTATTAATTAATTTAAAGTATGCTATTGGTTTAATTGATTCATGAATTGAATTTAATTAATTTACTAATTAATTAATTAACCTTATATTTTGCCATCATTAATTAATATAATTAATTTTTTAATCAATTAATTAAATGAAACAAATCAATTCATCAAATTTAGGCAATGAAAAACGAACGTAATAATTAATTTCTAAATCGAAGTTTATTATAAATATAAGACGGTGATATATAGACGTAGATTTAAAATTTAGCAGTAACAATTTCAAACTATGACTGCAAATCTTAACCGCATATATCTTATAGTTTCAGTAATATTAATTAACTATAATTAATTAATTTACTAATTCTAGTTTTATAATAAATCATTTCTCATATTAGTTTTGGCAGTTAATATGACATCTATTTTTATTTGAAGTTGAATTTTCAACAATGTTTTGTGACCTCTTCGACATTTAAATCAAAATCTTATTATTCTTTTTTTTTATACAAAAAACGGTTATTGAGTAAGCTAATTAACAGCAATTGCGAATATAATTGAGCAATTATAATGAAAACTATATTTCATTTATCCCATTCAATTCGCTCACACCCAACGTTCATTAACCTTTCATAATTACAGTTATTTATTATTTTTTTAATTACTCCGTTAGCATTCAACAGGCGAAATTCAGTACAAATTTCTCTACCTCATTTTTTTTCTTCTATTTTTTTTTATGAAAAGAGAATATTCTTTTCGATTCATTGTTGGTAAGAAAATGTCATAATTCGACCTTTTCTTTTTTGTAAAAATTCGAAACTCTCAATTCGATGAAAAGAAAGTATCATATTTAAAGTAACGTGCAGACATTACAATCTTTAGTCGAAATATTTTTCCTTTGTATTCGTTAATACTGTGTTAAAATCGCTAAATCCCTGTTTTATCCATCATGTAAATTAGAATAAAAATAATTTTGATTAAAACAAAAAAATAAATCATTAACAAAAAAATTTCATGTGTCTGTAAAAATAACATTCACTGTGTAAATTTTCAAACAGGTGAATATTAATTTTAAAATAGAGTAAAATTAGCTACAATTACATTTTGTAAATATAGTAAATGCTCTTTTTCTCATTCTTTTCTTTTTTCACTTTAAAAAAGTGAACTAATTGTTCGTAGAGCACTCCCTGTTTTTTTTTTTCATTCTTTATATAGTAAACGGACAATAAACTAATATTTATAATTAATTTATAATTGCACCAACGTAAAAAAAAACTTACTTATAATTAGCCTTTGTGCTTAGAGCATATTTGTTATCAACACGTAGTAAAAAATGAGATGAGAACAAAATATTCGACGGGATACTCGTTTTCCTTTCATTGGTAATGACTCATTTTACATTTCCGTTACTCCTCCTTCGACTAGAACTGCAAAAAGTCACAAATTACAATTTACAAAAATTATAAATTTTTTTCCTTAAAAGCAAATAATTATGTATTGTTAACAATTTTTTTTTATATTAACTAATTTATTAATAATTAATATTATTTACCTTCTTTAAAAATTCTTCTGCACACGTACGAGCTCTGGCGTTCATTGAAAGTTTCATTTCGCTAATTTCTCGATCAATTTCCTCCATGAAATGAATGACGAAATCGACAATTTTGTGTTTGTACATTTGTTCGGTGTGAATATTCGTGATCAGAAAACTAATATCGAAACCCTGTGAATAAAGAAATAAAAACTCTTTTCAATATAAAAACAAGAGAAATATTGTCGAAATATTAATTGTTGTTAATTAAAAATAGAAAAAAGAAAGAAATAATGAAAGAAGGAAAAATATCGTTCAGGGTTGCCACAAATATTTAATTTTATTTTTTCCTAACTTTTTCCTGATTTCCAGACGAAATTTTCCCTTTTTCCCTGACCCTAAAGAATATTCTGATTCACTCTAAAAATTGTTAGATACTCAAAAAAATAGTATTTATGAAAATTCTAAAAATTATTCATTAAATAATTTGTAAGTCATAACATGTTGTCGAAATATTAATTATTGTTAATTAAAAATTGAAAGAAGAGAAAAATAATGCAGGAAGGAAAAATATTGTCGAAATAATAATTATTGTTAATTAAAAATTAATTTAATTATAAATAAATTAAATTACGAACCTCGACGGGTTTCCTGCGTAGAATCATAAAATTTTCAGCTCGCATCATCATAAATCTTGTGAATTTATGACAGAGAATTTTTTCCAAATCATCGGCTTGTTTAACAGCAATGCTGATTCGCATACTATTTATACTCGATTCAATTAAAATTTTCTCCTTATTATTTCTACTGATGAGAATTGGAGTCAAGAGAAGTTCCTTGCTTGCTCTAACTTCAACTTCTGGTTTATTGTGCTTTTCGACAATTTGAGATGAAAAATTTTCCACACACATTGCGGCTGTCAGTGTTCGCCTCACGGCTGTCAAATACGGTTTCAGTGATCCAGACTGTAAAATTAATTAATTATATTTTTTATTAAAACAATAAATTTTAATTTAGAAGAACTGAAAGAAACGTTCTTCGGGAAAAGTCAAACGAAAATGGTAACGTAAACACAAACATTAATATTGAGTTATGAATCCGAAAGTGATTAATATTTATTAAATTATTATTATTTACGAATTCGTATTATTTATAAAAGAGTTAATTATTTCATTAGGTGTGTCATTTTTTATGCAAAGAAACAGATGACATCGGTTATTTTGTACATCATTCGTACTTTTGTATAAAAAAAGACAACTCATGCTAGAAATGTCAAAATAATAGTTTTCTATGAAAAAAAACCCAATAATTAATAATAGTAACAAAAGAATTAGATTTCCTTCAATTATTTTTCATATTTACTGTCTAAAAAGTGGCTAATTTAGATAAAAAAAAGATAAGTAATGTTTGTGTAAGGCGTTCCTAACCTCAAATTGCCAAAAACTTACCATCTTAATTAAACTGTATGTATAATTATTCCTTCAGAATATTAATTCTCCTTGTAATTAATGCCAAACGCTAGGATCCTATTGTATATTAATTTGTGTAAAAAGTAGAAAATGACATTACAAAACGGTATTTATTAAACAAGTTTAATTTTTGACAGTAGTTTCCGTTTTTCAGCGGAGAGCGGACTTCTGATATTTCCAATGTAGCCACGTCTGTCCACCAATCACAATTCAGAGCCGTCAATGAATTTTGATTGGTTGGCAGAACACGGTACGAGAAATTCAAAAGTTTTAATCTGACGGTTAGAGTTACTCAGTTTACAAGTAATTTTAGAAACAGTTTATTAATTTGTGTAATTTTTCAACAGTGTGGAGATATTTAAAAGGGAATCAACATGGATTTCGAACGACGCTTCAGAATAAATAAAGAGGTTAGTAAGTTTTTTTAAATTATATAATTATATTGCAATAAATAGAAATGTGTCGCTCTCGGAGAAAAAAAGTGCTTGAGAAATGAAAAATTTTAGATTGTTTTTTGGAATGAAAATAAACAGAGGCAAACAACTGTAAATATAAACGAAAGTTTAATTCTTCATTAAAATATTTAATAAGAACTGATTTTACTTTTATAGAATTGAATTTAACAAAAACTTTTAGTAAACAAAACGCAAACATAACCTCAAAATAATTTGCTTCTTAGGAATTTTTCTTCGGAAAAGGTAATAAATAAATATAAAATAAATGAATATAAAAACAAATAATTAACAAAAAATGAATTACAGTACATTTTTATAATTATTATCGTATTTTTCTCAATGTCAACAAAATATATCGTCGTTATCGTTATGAAATAAAAACAAATGAAAATTAAGTAGACAAGAATATATTTTAATAGAAAAAGATTACACAGATAGTAGAAAATACATATTTTCAGTGTTTTAGACATAATCGTTAATTTCTATTCGTTGTCATGTGGTAAAAATAGTGTATAATATTTTTTTTATAAATCACAAGGCACTATATAAAGGCACAGAGTATATTTCATTGCATATCGTAGACAATAAGAGTAAAATTTTAAAAATCTAAAAACTAATTCTTTGATTCACTTTGAAAATAAAAACTCTTACAAAAAGTTAAGAGTTTTTATTATTGTACATACTTTTCGATAAAAACAATTAGTGAAAAAATTATATTATAATAATTGTAATTGAACAATTGTACAATAATAGAAAAAATTGATTAAAAAAATGCAAAAAAAAAATTACATTTACATATTAATTAAAGCAAATTAGAATTAATTGGCTAGTTTGATCACATTAAATAAATAACAGTAGACTACAAAAAAGAATTCGTAGTGTGAGCGGATAAAAATCGAAATAAATAGTTATAAATCTACTTCGTCACGGTAAAAGAGAGACTAATCACTGGTATAATTAATATTGACTATAAAATTAAAAATTAAAAGATAAAAATTAAAAAATGCGAATTAAAAATTACAAATTGAAAAGAAAGAGATTCATTACTTGAAAAATTAAAGTAAAATGAAGCAACTTTCCCCTTAATCGATCCTTAAAATATTGAGTAATGTTTCGTTTCTAATCTCATTTCAAAAGCGTCAACAGGCAAAGAAACCAGTCATTAAAATTAAATTTAAAGCTACATTTTTCAATTCTCCAAAATTTGATTATTCCTTTTTTTCTGTTTAAAATTCTTTTTAAATTCGTTTTCAATTCTTTTTCAATTCTTTTTCAATTCCTTTTCAATTCTTTTTAAAAAGAATTTTAATACTAATATTTAAATTAAAATTTTATTTCAAAACAAAAATTTAATTAAAATATTCCTCCCTTCGATCTGAATTTCAATCTTTTTTTTAATAATCATGCAAAACTATATTTCTTATTTGCGCGGAAGACTTATTTTCCAACATTCCTGTAACTTTTAAACTGACAAATTAAGGTCGACCCGGTTCTTGGCAGTAATCATAAATTGGAATTTCCGGTGGAATTTCACGCGACGAACGAAAAGTCGAGCATCGCGTTATTCCAACAATACAAAGTGTCACTGTCGATGCCACGGCAATATGCCATGAAAAATTCACGGCAATCTCTTCGGATGTTAAATAATTTGTCCCATGACTACGCACCATGTGCGCAATCCAAGCACCATGCAATAAAGTTGTTACACCCGTTAATAATTTCACTTCAGGCCAAATTATTTCCAATGTCACCGACAATGCCGACATCCAAACAATTCCAGCGAGAATTGCATCGACCATTGAATTATCGCCGATATTCGCCCAAAGAAAGAGGAAACCCTCGACGAAAAAACTTTGAGCAAGACCCATTTTAACTAGACCAATACTAAAATTGTGGGGAAAATAGAAATTAAATACATCGACTAGACCGGAGAATGCAAAGAAAAGATATATCGTTGCGTATCTAACTTTGGCTGAAATAATTCCATTATTTGGTGAATATGTTAGTGTACCAGTGAGACCAATTACGGTGGCAATTAATTTTAATCCACCCTCCAGTGGATAGCGGGATAATATTTTTCGGAAACCTCCATTTTTTCTTGATGGACCACCACGACTGTCGAGTGTTGTTGGTCTGCCTGGTGAACAGAAAATTGCGTATTCGAAGCACCAGATTAGTCCGAAAATGTAGAAAATTGCTCCGGTGAGGAGGTACGAAATGTCACTTCCTTGCATGACTAAAAATACCTGTTGATGAAAAGATTTTATTAGAGTAATTTAAAGAATTTTTAGGGCAAATTAAATTAATATATTAAAAAACAACAAGAAACATTCATCTATAATTAAGATTTAAATTCCTGCAATAAATTTTATTATTTATGCAAGAATTTAAATATTTATAAAAATAATTTAATTCTTGCGAAGAATTTTATGAAAATTTTTAAATAATTGATTTCTTTCGACTATTTTTATGCAAATTCTAATTTTAATAATTGAATTCCTAAGAAATTTTTATTATTTAATAAAAAGAATTGAATTCTTACGAAGATTTTTTTTATGAAAATACAAAGTAGATTTTAAAAATAATTGAATTGAGAAAAGTTTTTAAAAATAATTAAATTTTACAAAGAATTCAATTAAAATTTTTGACAATAATTGAATTCTTGCGAACGATTATATTAGAATTTTATAACATAATTGAATTTATAAAATAATTGAATTGAATGAAGAAGTTTATTTCATTTAAAAATAATTGAATTCTTCTGATGAATTTTGTTATTTATAAAAATAATTGAATTTTGCAAAGAATTTTATTGAGGTAAAATAATTGAATTCTTGGAAAGATTTTTATTAAAGTCTAAAAGAATAATAATTGAATTATTTAAAAAAAAATTTAATTAAAATTGTATTTAAAATAATTGATTAGTTTCCAACAATAATATTAAATAGTTTGAAAATAATTGAATTCCTGTAAAAAATTCTAATATTTTTGTAAATAATTGAATTCTTCCAAAGTATTTAAAGAAAATATTTTTTTAAATGCCTAATTGTTTTTTTCGAGGAATTGAAATTAAATTTTAAAAAATAATTACATTTTTTGATCAATTCTTGTAAAATTGTGTTAAAAATAATTGAATAATTGCTAACAATTTTATTAAAATTTTCAAAAATAATTGAATCCCTGAGAAGAATTTTATTATTTATGGAAATAATTAAATTATTGCGAAATTTGTTTTAAATGTTTAAAAAGAATTCAATTCATTCAATTATTAAATAAAATAATAAAATTCGTTGCAATAATTCAATTATTTTCATAAAAAACTTTTAATTCGTCGCAGAAAATCAATTATTTTCAAAAAATTTTAAACAAGCAAAATAATTTAATTATCTTGATAAACAAAAAAATTCTCCCTAATAAAATCAATTATTTTAAGGAATTATAATAAAATTCTTTTCCAAAATTCAATTATTTTAATAAATATCATCAAAATTCATAACAAGAACTCAATTCTTTTGAAAGATAATAAAATACTTTGCAGAATTTTACATTATTTAAAAAATTTTTTAAAAATTCTCGTCAAGAATTAAATTATTTTTATAAATAGATAGCGAAATTCTTCTCAAGAATTAAATTATTGTTAAAAATTTTTATAAATTTCTTGGCAAAATTTCAATTATTTAAAGATTTAAACAAAATTTAATAAAATATTCTTCGCATGAATTCAATTATTTTTATAAATTATTATTTACCTATATTCTTCTTAGAAATTCAATTATTTTTAAAAATTTTACTAAAATTCTTCAAAAAGTTTCCAATTATTTTCAAAAATTTGTTGTAAAATTCTTTAATATAATAAATTTTAGTAAAATTTTAATTAATTTAAATTCTTTTGACAAAGAAATAGCAATCAAGCAGTAAAAATAATATAAAAATACATATTTACCTTTTTTTTAATATGGCAAAATTAATACTTTAACTAGTCAATATTTTTATTAACTAGTTCATACTATTTTTCTCAGTGTACAAGGTATTATTATTTATTAAAAATAATCTTCTAAATACTCCTGGTATTATTAATTTTATCACAATACATCACGTTCTTTTAAAAGAATCTTTTAAAAGAACTATTCGAAGATGTATAACTTCAATGACACAATGTACATTATTATCTAGAGTAATTGGCACAATATCACATTATTAAAATATTTTTATTGTTTAATAAGTTTTAATAAGAGCAGAGAAAAAAAACATGTTTCCTATTAGATTTTTAAGGTTAGACAGTCTATTGAAGAGTTTCCAAATTAAGGCGGTTGGTAAGAGAGAGTCGTTTACTGATAATGTAGAACATGGCGGGTTTTATTTGAATTTTTGAAAGGAAGATATCGTTCATTAATAAGGAAGATTATCGATTTGATACTTAATAATTATTTTAATTAATTTCAAATATTTACTGGATAATTATTTTTATAATTACCTTGGATAATTATTTAAATAAATTTTATAATTACTGGATAATTATTTAAATAAATTTCATAACTACTGCGGATAATTCTTTAGAATTAATTTCATAATTTTGAAAAAATATTTAAATTCGATATAAATTAATCTAAATAAATTTCTAATATTCAAAGAAAATTAATTAATTACTTTGTATCTTTAAATAAATAAACATAATTAATTACATAATCTTCATAATTAATAAATATAGAGTCATACACTGTAAAAAAATTTATTTGATTTATTAAATATACAATTTATAGAGTCAAGTAATCGTACTTGACTATATAATCAAATTAACATTTACTTAAATCAAATGATTTTTATTTTAATCAATTGAATGGTATATTTGCTTCAAATAATGGAATTATTGTTTCAAATACAATTTATTTGACTTAAACAAAATTTATTTGATTTAAGTAAATATTTGTTTGATAATAGAAGTGTAATCAGTTATTTGAATCAAATAAATTTTTTTTCAGTAGGTATAAAAGAATTATTATTATTATTATTATTATTTATTTGCAAAACTAACGAGCTATTCATTCAGTTATTATAATTATAAATGAAATATGAAATAAATTGTATATAAAATAAAAAAAAATGAAAAAGTCTGTAAATATTAAATTCTACGCAATTTTTTACATACTTTTTAAATTCGTATATATTTTGAAATTAATTAAAAAATATTTAATTTTTAGAGTCGTTGTACATATGTATATATAGGTATATATAAATCTTTAAGTTTTTTTGCAAATAAAAAAGGTAAACAAATTTCATACGTTGAACATCAAAGTATATATGGAAGTCGAATTGATTTTCATGATCCACAGCTCAGTTTGCAAATATAGTATAGATAGTGATGGGAATCCCTTTCATGTATATATATCTCAATTATCGTTCTGCAAACTAAGCTTCATATGGAGTGAGAAGCAACCACTGACTGATACATAAATTCTAAAAATTTATAATGACAGTATTCAACATATTTTCATTAAATAATAATTAATAGTATAATAGTAAAATCGTAGATAATAAATCTTAATAATTTGCGATCTAAGGAACAATTTTTTCGAAATTTTTCAATTTATTACATCCAGAGGTTAATAATTAATAAAATAATAATTAATATTAATTAGCAACAATTCGCGCGGCTATCTTCTTACTGATTTTTTAAAATAAAATTAGCAATTTTAAAAATAATAGAATTTAAAAATTTTCTAATTTAAATTTTTGTTGAAAACACTAAAAAAGAATTCAATTTTGGAGAAATTACCAATAATTGCAGAAATTCAATTATTTTCAAAAACAATAAAATTCTTCTTATGTTCAAAATTTGAAAAAAATTCTAATAAAAATCCAAATTATCTTTATAAATAACAAAATTCTTCTTCAAAGTTCAATTATTTTCATAAATGTCAAAAAAATTCTTGTCCTAATTTCAATTATTTTCAAAAATAAAATACATTTTTCTAATTTCAATGATTTTCAATATTTACTATTTTAATAAAATTCCCCAAAAAGAATTCAATTATTTAAAAAAAATTCTAATAAAATTGTATGGAAACATTTAATTATTTTCATTAAAAATAAAAATTTCAAAGGAATTCAATTATTATTTTCATAAAAAATAATTTTAAATTCTAGAAATTGTGCAAATATTTTTCTTCTTTTTCGAAAACAAAATAATAATTTTGTTAAAAAAATTGTGATTCATAAACAAAAATAATGCAAAATAAATAAATTTTCTATTTCTTAATCACAGTTGTTTAACAATTTTCTAATTTTCTTTAGAAGTAAAGAACAAAAATCTGCATAATTTCAATTTGACAAAAACATTCAATTTAACAAAATTTTAGTCTTTTAATGAAAAGAAGTGAAAATAATTCTGATGATTTCTATTTGTCATTAAAATTTTGAATTAATTATAAAATGAAAATAGTTATAACATAAATAGTATTCAGGCCTTTTTATGATGAAATAATTACAAAAAACTGTTTCAACAAAATCAAAATATTAAAAATTAAAATACAGTTATATTTAATTATTATAATATTATTAATAGAAATAACGATACATTTTTGTAATATTCATAAAAATAATAATTTTGAATTTATATTGTAATAGGATTTTTCAACATCTATTATTGTCAATTTTTATATATATACATATATATAAATTTTCCAAATAGACGTATAAATTCGTTATGGAAATAGTTTGGAAATTGTAGGATTAATACAAAATAACCAACCCATCTGTCACGTACAAAACTTTATTTCATATCAATGTTACCTTCACTGCTAATCCATCGTTCATAATTCCATATGCGGATTTGTCTGTAATCCTTCAATATATACCTATATATATTGAGGGGTCATTTCAAATAATAGAATTATTGTATTTGACATTGCATTTAATTTTCATATACGAATGCACTCGAAAATTCATTCTATTTTCTGCAATTCAATGTACGTTTGGCATTTTGCATATATTCGTTTTTTTCTCTTCTCTTTTTTTTTAAAAATAAAAAATGGATAAAATATTTTTTGTTTATAACAAACAATAAAAATATTAAAAATGATAATAATAATAATATTAAAAATAAATAATAACAAAAATATAAATAATAATAATAATAAAAACAACATGTCCCGTTAATCAATAAATTTTAGTAAAACATAACTGACTTTTAGTACACTGAAAAAAAATTTATTTGATTCAAATAACCAACTAATTGACTATTATCAATTAAATATTTACTTGAATCAAATAATATTTATTGGAGTCAATTAAGTGGTATTTGAACCAATAATTTCAGTAGTTGAAGCAAATATGAATTGAACCATTTAATTGACATCAATAAATATTATTTGATTCAAGTAAATATTTCAATAATTAATTTATCAATAATTGATAATTAATATATAATAGTCAATTAGTCCGTTATTTGAATCAAATATATTTTTTTCAGAGTATAGTAAAAAATAAATGACTTACAGTAAACAATAACTGACTTTTAGTATAAAGAATAACTGATGTTCAGTAAAGAATAACAAACTTTCAGTAAAGAACATAACGGACTTGCAGTAAAGAATACTGATTTAAAGAAAACCAAGTCTCAGTGGAAAAATAACTTTGTAGTTTACCGCGATCATAATCATTAAACAACAAAGTGACAAAACATTTCGTGCATCGTCATTTTAAAGAGAGAAGGAGAGCATCAAGTAAAGAGCCTCGTCTTTTGAACATTTTTTCTTCATTTTTTTTTTGTGTTTAACAGAAAAGAGAACGAATTTTTTGGTCTCTTTTTCTTTCTGGTATATAATATGCTTTTGGAAAAGCACTTTTTTTCCATTTTCATCTTTATAGGACGATGGGGTATCAAAAAATAAAGGGGGAGTGGTGGGTGGGAAGTATCAGGGGTGCAATTCATATTTGTCCGCAGGCAGCAGCGGAATTGCACCTTTAATCAAGATTTCTACCAATTTGCGAGAGCCGACGGCGCGAAGACAAAGCCTATTGTTGCCGTAACTGGTTGGGGCTTCAAGTGTTCCAACGCAACAGCAAAACTCTGATGCGCGCGTGTACTATAACGGGTGAACAAAATATTCAACTTAATGGAATTAGTTTCCTCTCCTTTTTTCTCTTTTTCTTCATTTTTCATTTCGTAGGAATATATTCTTCTTGTAGCACTAAAGCACTTCAAAGTGCCTTTATATATATATAAAATAATCACCGCAGCGTACGGTGGTAAATTTTTAAAAAATTCAGAATTCTATTATCATAAAGAAGGAATTTTTTTACTGAGAATAATTCTCGATTCTGCAATTCTGAATTCTACAGTTACTGTATATAGTCCAAGAGAATTATATATTTATTGTAATTAGACAAGAAGTGTCGGGGATTATTTAATCTTTATCGTATAATTTTCTCTGAAAACGGAATCTTTGGTATTTGATGCATTTTTCTGCACATATTTTCTCTGCAATAAAATAAAAATCTTTTCTAGAATATACAATTATGTTTTTCCTCAGTTTTCAATTTGCTCATAAATTGAAACTAAATTCAATTAAATTGAGTCTGATTGATAAGAAATTGAATAAAAATTGCGTCGATTTGTACCATATCAAACAATTGTTTCAAAATTTAAACCGATTGGTAGCAAACTGAAACAATTGGTACTAAATTGAATAAAATCGCGGTACCAGATTGAAGCAGTTTGGTACCAAATTGAAATAATTGGTTCTAAATTGAAACAATTGGTACCAAATTGAATAAAATCGGTACCAGATTGAAGCAAATTGGTAAAAAATTCAAATAATTGGTTCCAAATTGAAGCAGAGTGGTAACAAATTAAAACAGATTAGTATAGCAAATTGAATAAAAATATTGGTACTAAAATAAATAAAATTGATACCGATTTGAATCAAATTGATTTCAGATTGAATAAAATTGGTACCGCAAGTTCAATAAAATTTGATAACAGATTAAAGTAGATTGATACCAAATTGAATCAAATTGGTATCCAATTAAATAAAATTGGTACTAAATATAATAATTAGATCAGAATTTTTAATAAGGGTTTGGTATTAATTCAATTTAATTTAGTATCAATTTGATTCAATCTGGTATCAATATAATTCAATCAGGCATCAATTTTATTAAATTTAGTAACAATTTTATTCAATTTGGTACCAATCTGATCAAATTTGATGCAATTTTATTCAATTTTGTATTAACTTCAAGATCAATTACTTCAATTTGGTGAT